ACCGCTTAGAGAGGGCTGAAAGCCCTATGAAGCGGTATATAAGTCTACTGCTATTGCTATTGCTATAAACAAGCTATGGTTACAGAATGAATTTGGCCAACTGAGGCCTGGATGAAGGTTTTCTTTCCTGAAATCCTGCTTTTCAGATAAACATTTATTTCTTAGTTACCCTTTCATACAAGAGGTATCTAAAGTTCAAGTTAGTGTATACAGCATTTCCCAACTCCTATTTTCCTATCAGAACCTGGGTATAGTGCACCATACTGATGCAGTAACAGACAATGAGATGAGGTATCCGTGATGCTCTTTGACCTTAGTTGTTTCTTGCAGATGTTTCATTATCCAAGGTAGGTAACATCAGCAGTGCTAGTGACTGCATAAAACAACCAAGCTCAGAGAGCACCGAGGACTCCTCGTTTCAACACTGAGCTACAAATATTGGGACAATGATATCTCATCTCTTCCAACTATTGAATTGTTCTGTTTTTTGTATCCAAAGAATAATGTGTTTGATAGAGTGTGCAAAATGTGGTGACAAAGTGGAGGGATCAGCCAGTGTTCTGGAACTTTTCATACAACTTTAGTAAGTTTTCTTTGGAGAGACTTTGGTTCTCCCACTGAAAAAAGTGTTCTCTTGAAGCTTTGTACTTTTATAGACATTAATGAATCTTTAATTCTTGTAAGCAGGAAAAATATGCTCCGCAAGCAAATACCAGTGAACTCACAGGGAAATAAATGGCAGGAATGTCCTGGTACTTAATATTCAGAGTTTGCTTCAAACACTGCCCACATTCTTCATTAACCCAAAGAAGGTCTGTGATTCAAAACTCTGTGGCCCCCATTCTCTTTCTCAAAAAAAAAAAAAAAAAAACTATACCTGTAGACTGAAAGACCCCTGGATTGCACAGACAGTAGCGCTGAGCAAAGGCTTCCATCATGCGATCAATTTTCTGGGCTTCTCCTGGTAGTCGAAAACTCCACAGGAACTGCCTGCAAAGAGGAATGGGAAGCCATGAATGAAGACACAGGGGAAGTTCTCATTTGTCTGATCATAAATACAGGTAGTACTCAATTTACAACCATGCATTTAGCACTGAAAAAAATGGCTCTGAAAGAAAAAGACTTATGATCATTCCTCATGCTTGCTATCTTTGTAGCATCCCCATGGTCACATGATTAAAAGTCGGATGGTTGGCAACTGGCATGTATTTATGATGGTTGCAGTGTCCAGGGGTCACGTGATCACCTTTTGCAACCTTCTGACAAGAAAAGTCAATGGGAAAGTCAGATTCGCTTAACAACTGTGTTACTAACTTAACAACCTCAGTGATTCAATTAACAACTCTGGCAAGGAAAGTTGTAAAAGTGGAGCAAACGCATTTAACAACTGTCCTGCTTAGAAATTTTGGACTTAATTGTGGTTGTAAGTCTAGGACTACCTGTATTGGATACGTTCTTTATTTTGAAAACCAGAGATCTTACAGATCTCATTATTGCAAATTGATTCCATATCTGGGATGTTTTGCATTCTGTGTTTTGTATCCTCTTTCATTACTTTGCATTTGATTTTCAGCATTTTCTATACCTAGCAAAGGCTGAAGTGCTCCTCAGTATGGGCGATCAATTTCCCCCCATCCATCTAAAAGTACAAATTTTGCATGTTTAGAAAACAAATTCAAATTTAGGCTGTGTATTCTTCATTTGGAGAGGTTGACTTTTTCCTTGTTTTCCTTCCTTCCTGTATTGTTTTTATATGTTCGGTTTTCTACTGTTCTTTGTTTTTATATGTTTTAACAACTGTTAATTATTATATATCAGGTGACATACATTTAATAAATTATTGTGGTTCATTGCACTGTCAGCCAGATGTCCCCAAGGATTTGGGAGAGGCAAATGTGATTGTGTGATGATATCAAGGCTATTTTTGCAAGTTAAAAGTGAGACTGCCTTTTGCAGCTGACTGAGTGATTTTGTCAATGCCTGTGGGGTTGAAGTACTGCTTCAGATGTTTTGAGATTGAACCCAAGAAGCCTATCACTATGGGTATTATCTTTATTTTCTTTTGCAATAGTTGTTCTACTTCTACTTACAAGTCTTAGAATTTTATGTTTTTCTCCAATTCTTTTTCTCTTCTCTTCTGTTGCCTTCAGTTATTTCACTGTCCACTACCCAGACTTTTTTTCCCCTCAACATTTGTTAAATTTGGGGGATTACATGGCAGATGATTGTTTGAACTCCAAAGTTCCAGAGCACTTTTACGTTCTTCATTTTCTACTACTTTGTATATTTTGGGATCCCAACAGTTTTGGCTTACAGGCAAGTGGATATTTCTTGCAGAAATTCCAGTGCTCATGGTTGCTACATTGCCGTGTCACTGTTTGTAGTCAATCTGTGTGATCTTCTTGCAACAGCTAACTAGGAGACAGCATTGGCAGTTTGTGCTGTCTTTTCAATTCTGACTTTCTATGCCTTTGTTCTTATAAGGTTTGGTCTCATCCACTATAATTAGCCTTTGTACCTGAGGTGCATTACCTACAATAACTACTATGCAGTTGGGAGATAAAGTATAACTAAATATGGAAAGCCAAAGAATCCTCTGCCCATCTATATAGAAACATATCATGAGATTGTTAAGAAATGGGGTGTAGTGATGTAGAGAAACCATGGCATATATTATAGACTATCATATAGATTTGTTATAGAGAAGTGTAATAAATGAGACGAATGCCAAAGGATAGCATTCTTCCTCTTACAAAATTAAAGGAAGGGCTGTGGGAATTGATGCTCATTCACCTACAGGGCTCTGGGTTGGGTGAGACAGGAACAGAAGTGGTGGCTTCAGGCAAGCTCTGCTTCCCCTTTAGCAGGAGAAACAATAAATTATTGCTCTTACCCCCCCCCCCAAAAAAAAAAGATATAAACAAGAGGTACTGCAGCCAAACTGTTGGAAAATTACTGTAGCTAATGAGGACTCTAATACAGTAGATGGCTGAAGATTTCCAGACTCACCTGAGTGCTTGCACTAGGTTGAGGTCAGTAAATTCATGCAAATCAACAAAGGCATGGAGCACACCAATATTAAACTCCTCCCTGAATAAAAGATTAAGAGACTTTGTATTAATCCTGCCCCTTTGAAGGCACAGTTATTCCTACCATCCCAATCACTGAAATGTTTAGCCTATTTTCTTCCCTCATGACCGCTCCAATCTGCTTAGAATTCATTCTAAAACACCCACATTTAGTCTTTTCTCACCCCTCCTTTCTGAATAAATTTAATGTATCATACTTCAATATCTATGCTCTTTTCCAGAGTTCCAGGAAGCTCTGTACTGTAGTTTAATCTACACTGTGCTATCAATGGCTGCAATCTTCTCACTCTCATTTGCTCCTCCCATCATTGCAGTTCTTGCTCACCTCTCGCCAAGGTAGTCCCCAATGGCTGTCTTGTTGAGGCCTTCCCCTTTGTAAAGGAAGCGAGCAATATCCTCAGGTGTGGAACGCAGAAGTTCGTTTTCCACCAGGAATTGTATTCCCTAGAAAAGGCAATGAAGTAAAAAAAAAAATGTAGACCAGACACAAATATGTTCCCATCCTCCAATTATTTTTAACTCCGAAATATCAGATAGGTTAGTTTGTGTATAGGTGTATATATGTGTATGTGTGCTTGATTTTTACAAATAAATCAATGTGATAAACATGTCCAACAGATCTTCCTTCTCCTATTTTCCCCACAACAACAACCCTGGAGGGTGGTTCGGCTGAGAATGAATGATTGGCCCAAAGTCATGAAGCTGGTTTTCATGACTAAGGTAGGACTTGAACTCAGTCTCCTGCTTTCTAATCTGATGCCTAACTAAACTGGCTCTCTGGGTTTCTCAACTGGGTTTCCTGCCCCTCAATCATATAATTCTCTCCTAACCAGTCCTGGGGAAGAAAATCATGATTTCTCATTCCCAGCAATTCCTGTGTCATCAGGAAACATTTGTTTTCCCTTGGACTAATCTTTAGATATCATAACATGCAAACCCTTCACTCACTTACTTTTTTGGGATCCATATTGAACTTCTTACGCCCCATCCCCATCTTCCGGTTTCTCTGTAGAGTTTTACTGTCCAAGACAAAGAATCATACCTTTGACTCTTACAGAAAGGAACTGCAACATTTTAAGCTCATTTAGGCTTTTGAATACACACGCAGGTAGTCCTCGGTTAATGATAGTAATTGTAACCAGAATTTCCATCACTAAGCGACGCATTCATAAAGCCGTGACAACATATGACCAGCAGGCTCTGTTGCCATCTTTAATCAAATGCTGCCAAACATTAGGCAAGGGCCCACTTGATTCAAACCATTCCCAGATTAGTCCCTCCCAGCTCTGAGTCTTGGAAGGTAAGGGGTTGCCTATCTTCTCCCTCCATCTTGGCTCTTTTGGCCACCCTGCACAATGACACTTCTCAGAGGTGGTGACAGTGATGGCACGAGGGCTAAAGCAGGGGCATGGGGCCTTCAGTAGCCTCAATCATCCACTGCTGGGCCTCTATTTCAGCCCCAACTCAGGCCTCCTGAAGCATTGCAAAACACACAAAATTTATAGAAGTGTGTGCTTGGCCTTGGGAAGGCAGCCAGGCAGCCAGAAGCTGCCTCGCACAGAGCAAGGCTAGCACATCTTATCAACAGTGGAAGGAAGAAGATAGTGAAGGTTAGGTGGGCATGGCAGGGCTATCAGAATGCAGGGCAACAGATGTTTTGTGTTGCTATTTAAAATAAACAGCTCCTTCCTGGGAATCATTTATTTTCTGTCTCTCAAGAATGATGCTATCTCACAATCCCCCTTTGTTCTCATAATATAACACAAATAGCCATGAAGAATATACTTAATTCAGTTCCTCAGTCCAGAACAGAAAAGGCTGCTTTACAAAAAACCATGATTCCCCCAAGGCAAGGGAAGAAGTTCAGCCTAATATTTCCTACAATTAAGGCTGCAACCTAATAAAATAACTTTTTGTCATTGCCTTATGTGGATTTTCATTTCATTGATTTACTTCCATCAGTTAAAACTGTGCATGACTACACATCATACAGGGCGGGGCATAACCTTTTCCTAGGGGGTCACAGCAACACTTGTAATAACAACACAAATAATTCATACACCATTCGAAAGCCCATCAAAAACTGAGTTTATTGACACGATTTAATAGTCAGTATGACCACCATTAGCCCTTCGAACAGCATTCAAACGAGGTGCCTCTCGAAAGGCAATGCATTTTATTCTGTCAATGATCCTTTGTTCTTCCGAATCGAATTTTCCAGCCATTATTAAAGCAAATTTAACATTTAATAGCTCATTCAATTCAGTTTTTTATGGGCTTTAAAATGAGGTGTCGCGGAAGTTGTAAACTGCTGTCGATCTTGCTGTGACCCCCTAGGAAAAGGTTATGCCCCGCCCTAGAATTGCAAAATAATGACTGTTTGAAGATTTGTTGTGTTCTTATCCACCTCGTTTGAATGCTGTTCGAAGGGCTAATGGTGGTCATACTGACTATTAAATCGTGTCAATAAACTCAGTTTTTGATGGGCTTTCGAATGGTGTATGAATTATTTGTGTTGTTATTACAAGTGTTGCTGTGACCCCCTAGGAAAAGGTTATGCCCCGCCCTGTACAGCTGAAGAAAGTAGTATACTTAATGAGTTTTAATTGTGCTCACCCAAATAGTAATAGGCGCGGCCTTTATAAAAGCATTCCTTCTACAAAGAACAGAATACTTAAGATATAGATAGCAGTCCTTTAACAACTGCCTCATACAGTTAACAACAGATGAAAAAGTAGTTTTATGACCATTTATCGCATTTACAACCTTTGCAAGTCTGTAAAACAAATGAAAGTTTAAGTAATATTGTAAGCACAGCTGTGGTTTCATTTTGCAACCTTTTCATTTAACAAGTGAGTTGCTAGTCCCAGTTGTGGTTGCTAAAAAAGAATTACCTGTAATGTATATAAAACCTTTGGCTCAATAATGAAGGACATCTTTTAAAACAAATAAAAGCCCTGACACAAACACAGGCACCCACATTTTAGAGATTTCAAAAATACTCTAGTACAGGAATGTCAAATTCAAGGCCTGGGGGCCAATTCGGCCCATGGGGTGCTTAGATCTGGCCCACGCCACCTCCCTGAAACAACAAAGGACCGGCCCGCAGTGCCTCTGCCAGCGAAATGGAGCTCAGGAGGGCTGCGTGTGGCCCCTCAAGCTCAGTTTTCACTGACAGAGGGTTTCAGTAGGCCATTGCAACTGAAAACGGATCTAGGGAGCCCATTTTCATTGGCAGAGTGCTTGGGCCACCACAGGCGCCCCTGACACGAGTAACATTGAGCTGGTAACGTCCACCCTGCCCTCCTTAGGTCAGACACAACCATGATGTGGCCCTCAATGAAAATGAGTTTGACACCCCTGCTTTAGATCAGTGGAAGCCACATTATTTGTAGTATATACTAAAAGGAAATCTCAGACATCAAGGAAATAGCTAATTAGAACAGGCATATGCTGAGGTGACTCAGGGACTCCTATGTTCAGAGAAGACTAGAACAGTCTCAGCGAAGCCTGTCTTGAAATGTCTTGATAGGAAAGCAGTCTTTAGACCAGTGGTTCCCAATCTTGGCGATGTGTAGACTTCAACTCCCAGAATTCTCCAGCCACCATGGCTGGCTGGGGAATTCTAGGAGGTTTGAAGTTGCCAAGATTGGGAACCCCTGCCTTAGATAATCTTCTCTAGAGAGAAGGAATCCCTCACCTTCCCTCATTGGCCTCCAGCCCCTCCACCTCATTCATGGCTTCACTGAGTTCATCTCTCAAGCGTTGGATTTCCACCAAGAGCTCCTGCTTCCGTCGCCGGATGTTCTCCAACTCTAGCCTCTCCTCTGGTGTCAGATCTGGAGGCACTGCAATGGAAGAAAGGAAGCAGACTGAAGAAAGCGTACTGTTCTTGTCACTTTGAACCATTAGAAAAAGCCAGGGGTCTCTTTTCCAATGAGCCCACATCCATATTCATGCCTCCATTTCAAGAAATTGTGACAGTGTCAGAAGGGGACATACAGGTGGCCCTTTGATTTTTGAGCAGTTGCTTAACAATTGTTCAATGTTCCAACAGACCTCCCCCACAAAAGATACTTATGACCCTGCTGGTTCTCCCCTTCCCACGGTCATAAATGCAATTTCTGATGTTTTGCTGATAATCAGCATTTACTTCTGGTTTTCAGCAAGGAAAAAAAGGTTATAAAATTTGGCTGATCACATGATTGGTTTATGACTGTTACAACTTACGATCGTAATAGGCAGGATCCATTATGGTTGTAAATCTGGGACAAACAATATGTGTATTAAGTGTTAAGTATCAGCCGTTCAAGGTAGAACAGAACAGAAAGAGATTTCACAGAGCATCTTCAGTCACGGCTGACTGAAGTTCATGAACAAGGGCCACTGTGAAGAATGGGGTGTACAAGAGCTTCAGAGTTTGGCCACCTCTTTATGAGAAGACCATAAAATAGTGATCTCTCATGGGCTTGAGCACTCAAAGTTGAGTATCAGCAGTGTTTTTCCTAAAGACATTAGGAACTGAGCGCATTTTGGAATTATATTCAGATATGTTTCATTTCACCATTTTATGGATATTGGGGACCTTCAAAACGGCAACTCTAATTTGACATGTGAGTTTTACCTTCTTCCTTGGATTTAAGAACTTTTAAGCAGAGAATTTAAATTAATATACAATTGGCAAAAAGAAAAAAATTAAGAAAGTTTAAAATAGATTGGGAGATCACAATGTTTATTTTTGCTATAAGATTTGAAAAACAAGTCTATAAATTAAATAATATACTCACAGGAAATGACTGAAACAAAACTAAACCTATATTAGGAACTGAAGTTTGATGAAGGTTGCAAATGAATACTAGAGGGAGTTTGTTGTAAGTTGGCCAGTCACTTTTGTGAGATGAGAGACCATATAAATTAACATATAAATGTTAATAAATAAAATCCAATAAGAAATAACTTAAAATGGGTAATTTGGTATAACCCTTTATCCTAAGCTTTTTGAAGCATGAATTGAAATATTAATAACTAATATCTCAGAAAAGATAAAGATTTTATTGGAGAAAATTTTAGAAGATAATGAGAAAAACTTTTTAAAAGCCCTTTACCTAACATACACATTATAGAGTATGAAGGCATGTAAGATAAGAAAACTGGTATTAACAAAATAAGAATACCTAAGACAATTTTTTAAAAAGGACTGGACCTGGATTTTGAACAGCTGTAACAAGAATCCTGGGAAATCTCTTCATGGGATTTTCAAAGTAGGCTACTGGAAGCTTTGAAAACTGCTTTTAAATATCAAAAAGTAATGATTAAATCTAATATGCCAAAAGAATGATTTAAAGGTCAAGATTGCACAGAGCAAAAAAGAAGGAACATAAAGTTGAATTATTTGACCAGGGATAAACTGTTTGCTATTTCTACTGAGTCCTAGTGCCCCCCCTTTTTTTGCTGAACTAGGATTGAAAAGATGAAGATTTCTTAATTGCATATTAATAACAGATAGGGTGTGAGTTTTTGTTTTTATTTGTAACTTTAAAAGAGAGTGAAAAGTCAGTATATTAGCATATGCTTGATGTGATAGTTGGAAGCTATTTTTTAATTATTGTCTTTGTTGTCTTTTGTTTTTTTTCTTTTTCCTGCCCCTTCTGAGTTTTTCTTTTCCCCCTTTCTTCTAGTTTGGTTTATATTGGTTTTCACTATGATTAAAAATATCAATTAAATTATTAGCAAAAGAAAAAAAAACATTCCATAGGAAATTTGAATTATATTTTATTGAGATAGGCTGTAACAACAGAACTTTGCAAATCTTGCTGTTTTACCTTCTTACCCTCTTATATTCTAGTGAATCAAACCTGCCTGAATCTCTTGCCAATACTATCTTGCTTCCCAGGGCTTAAGGAATGTTTCAACCTTATTCATAGATGTCTCTTGTGTCCTTTAAAGTTATCTTTCCAGATTTTTGTTATTGTTCCTTTATCTCAGCAACTTTATTATTGTCAGTTTATCTCTCAGAATTCAAGGGGAGCTGAAGTCCACACATCTTAAAGCTGTTGAGGTTGACAAACATTGGTCTATACCCAGATCCAATGAAAGCAACCCTAACAGATGGCAGTTAAGTCATTGTCTGAACACATCCAGCAATGGGAACCCCCCTGCCTTGTTAGGCAATTGATTTCACTATCTAATCACTAAAAGGATTTTTTTTCTCGCATTCAGTTGGAATTTATCCTCTCTGCTTTGGGCCAGACAAGTCCATGCAATGCCAATCTTCAATGTTGTATAAATACTTATTATCATTCTTTCATCGTCCATGTTGTTTACATCAAACTCCTCCTTCCGGCTGGGACTTATGACCGACTTAAAACAATTCCAATCTTGTTAACAGATGCAAGCTTTAAAGTGGTTATTCAAGGTTCATTTACAATGTGTGCATAAGAGGAACCAAGCTGTCAAGAAACTGAAGTTCACAGGTCCAAATGTTGATCTCTGGATAGCAACTTTGAGTCATTAACACTAGCATAGTCTACTTCACAGGGTTGTTACAAGCAGGAAATGAGATGAGTAGATAATCAGGTATGTTATTTAGGAAAGCAAGATATATATATATTAAAAAAAACCTTTGCAAAAGCCACTTCCTCTAGGCCTAGGATGTCCAGCTTTCAGTTCAGAGGCACACCCAGAACAAGAACTTATAATGAAGGCCAGCCTGCAGGTGAGGGCACATGCACATACAGTCCTCTGAGTAATTCTTACGTTTTATGTTTGTTTGTAAAAGCAGTTGGGGGGCAGTGCATAATATCCGGAATCTTTTTCAGTTACACAAACTTTAATTCAGTTCCAAAGAAGAAATGGGGGTTGCTTAATTATTTTATTGAAAATGTAAGGAGCCCAGAGGCAATGAACATCTGAAATAATCTGACACATAAATTATTTTATTATTTACTAAATGCATATGCCACTCATGTATTTGTTAAATGTATACACCTCACAATCTGAGGCCATTCTAGACAGCCAATTCACCTGATTAAAAACGATTATTATAACGAATTATGCCTAACACCGTTTTTAACCAAGACTTTTTAAACCATCCCTTGGCAGCTCCCACACATTTAAATTAAATAATATTAATAAATAAGGTGTGATATTATTAGTAGGGGTAACATGTTAAAAATAAACAGGATGAGAGTCTATAATTTATAATATTTAGACAATTCTCCCCCCCACTCCCCTCGCAGCATGGTTGGATCCAATCACAAAGTGCCCCTTCCCTCAGAGGAATGGTACAGCCTCCTATTTAAATTATAACGGTGCTTTTTTAGAGCCGTCTCATCAATTCCTTCAGTAGGTTGCCAATTCTCACCCTCCTCCATCTCTTTCGAGAGCCGCTTAAACAGACCCACCCCATTTTATCTAATTGGAAGTCAGACAATGGTGCATTCCACCCTCCCTCCTGTCATGGTATAGCCTAAAAATCCCACCCACCCCCGCCCGGTTCATGTATATCCCAATCGATGGAACGCGTCGCACCCCTATCATTAAATGAATAAAATCCCGATTTCCCCCTTATTATGGAACGGGCCAACCCGGCATTCCCCCTTTATTTCGCATGGTTTACTCCAGCCTCACCCCTCTTTGTAAGGATCGGCCCCGCCCCCTACGCAACTGGTACTGAATGGCTCAGTCCACCCACTCTTTTTCCTATTGTAGTTATTGGGCGGGTCTCGTAATCTGCCCCTTTATCTCCCCTCTTTAAGCTTCCCAATGGAAGAGTCTTAAGGAGCCCTACCATAGATACCGTCCTCCATGACGTCCGGAGTGCCCCCAAACAGGGCCAAAGGGAACCCCAGTTTCTTCTTGCCTCCTTTCTTCGGGGCTGCAACAGCAATGCCCTCCTTCAGCAGCCGGGTTCTAAACTGAAAGGAACGTTCCGCCTCTCATGAAAATCGTAACCAATAGGAAAGAGGAATCTCGAGAATAGCCACCTAACAGCTAGGAGAATTAGCCAATAGAGAGGAAGATTTCACGAATTACATGTACGCTGTAAGCAACCAATAGGCATCCACAGCCTGATATTGGCAGGAGAGTTATTCAATGAAATCTTACACTAGCCCACTTGATCATTTCTGTGGCCTTGTACTCGGCGTACTTTGAGCCGGTCCATTCTGTGCACGTTTCAACCGAGATATAGGAATCGTATAGAGTCCTTTAGAGTCTTTATTCAATTGACTTGTGAAAGGATATTTCCTTTGTCTGGTGCCCAAAAAAGGATCCAGCGATTTCGATCCAAACAGCAGCAGCTCCTATTTTTGCTCCTGTAGTTCATTTCCAGTTATTCTAACTTGCCATTCTCATAAAATGGGCGGGTTTTGTTTCTGTCCCAGGAAAAAAACAACAAATAATATTCAAATCTCACCCTCTTCTATTTGTACGTTTATGCATTCCGAGCGTCTAAACGCCAACCTTCTAGTCCTGCCCTCCTTACACAACTGTCAATCAAGATGAGTGAAGCGTAAGCAACCCAATCGTGACTAGTTACTGTACATGCAAAAAAACACCCCTCCTCATCAGGAGATGCGGCAGAGGACAGCATTTGTCAGCCTGGGCAACTGGAGACGTGTGGGCTTCAGCTGCCAGAATATGCTGGCTGGGGAATTCTGGGAACTGAAGTCCACGAGTCAAATGGCTCAGATTGAAAAACATTGAGTTTTGCGCTGTCGCTTTGCTGCCATCTTGTGGTCAGCTAGACTTTTGCAGCCCAAATTCCATAGGCCTGCCAAAATCATAGGACTGGTGTCTCCATGACCACAACTACGTTTAGATCAGAGGTGGTACTCAGAAGGTTCTGACCAATTCTGGAGAACCGACAGCGGATATTTAGAGTAGTTCGGAGAACCGGTAAATACCACCTCTGACTGGTCCTGCCCCATCTATTCTCTGCCTCCTGAGTCCCAGCTGATCGGGAGGAAATGGGGATTTTGCAGTATCCTTTCCCTGCCACGCCCACCATGCCATGCCCACAGAATAGGTAGTAAACATTTTTTGAATCCCACCACTGGTTTAGATGCCGCATCAGTGAGACTTTTACCTTTATCTCATCCCCATCCTGCTGTTGAGATGCCTTAAATCATCTCTAGCTATTCTGGTGTTAAAATCACACCTTTCCTTTTCTCTTGACAAAAGGTTGTGGATACTTATCAAGCACAAGTCATCACTTGGAAACTCAGGTTTAGTGCCAACACTGGACCTGTGTTTACTGAACTGAACCCAAACCACAAAGATGAGTTTCAAGTGGGAGAAAGACAGGCAGCTCCAGCTAAGAGTTGCTCAGTTTATCCCCATCAGCAACCATTTGTTCAAGCTATAATTTGCAATTACGATAGTGAATGTGGAGACTTGCAACTTTTCCTTGAAAGTTTGGCCTTCACAACATCCCCGCAGTCATGATTCAGGCACTTGTCAACTACTTCGCAATTAGGACATTGCAGTGTCTTCCCATGACCATGTGATCGCCATTTGTGACCTTCACTACCTTTACCACCACTACTTCAGTGGTGAAACCAGCAGGAAGTTGCAAACGGGAATCATGGGACATTGGGATCTCATGGGATTCAGCTAACTATGACAATTAGAACTGCCACAACTGCCATCATAAGTCAGTGTGGTCATATGATGTCATGCTTTATGATTGTCGTGCAGTGACAGAATTTGTGGCCCCAATTACCATAGTTACGCCAGGATTACCTTTATAAGATTGCTGCTGTTTCTGCCAAAAAGGGCCATTGCTGTTGGGGAAGGAATGCTAGATTTTGTCTACTTCACAGATTCTTTCTGGATGCTGCCGGTTGTGGCTGTTGCTATTCCCTTGCAGAATTAGTCAAGGACAGAAACTGCTCATTATCAGATGCTGCTCCCTCCCTTGTGTTACTTTACACTGCTCAACATACTTGTTATTTGTGACATGGGCTCTTTTGGGACGTGGGTTAAATTTTATTGCTAGACCCATGTTCTGAAATAGCTCATCTGACAAGACACAGAGCCTTTCTGCTCCTGTCATCTGATGATGGGATAATTTGGTTGTTGGCTAAACTGCCATACCTGGCGGTTTCCTCCACTTGCCCCACTTTGCCCCCTCCCCACATGCCCATATAAGGGAGAGCAATTGGAGAAGCAAAGCCAGATATTTATTTGTCTTGTCCCATGTTAAAACTTAAGGATGGTCCCATTTTCTGGCCCTGTAACTAAAGCAGAGCTTGATTTTCAGAGCAGAGCATCGCAGCTGGCATCTTTTCTGTTGCTGGAAGGCCTGCTCTTTAATACAACCACCTGGCTGTGTTGGCAGAAAGTTATTTTGCTGGCCTCAGAAGCAGACAAGAAAGGGAGGAGCAGGCTGTTGCTAAGAGAGATCTAGACAGTTGCTTGTCTTTCTTGTATCCTTACCTGGTAATTCACTTAAGGACCCCTTACTAATTAGTAGGTACAGTGATCTTTGTAAAGCTTTGTAGCAGAAAATTATCTGTTATTCTTACTTATGTGCTTAATTGCCACTTAGAAGAAGATGAATGCCAGAAAGGGAAAATTGTTTATTGGTTTACCAACTCTTCCAAATAAGGATTTGTATGCAATCCTTTTGAGCAACCCTGTTTAGAATTACATGGAAAACAATTTGCCAGGTAAGGCTTTAGCAGTCACTCTTAATCTTACCTATTGTATTAGGATAGCCTTCTCCTAATCTGATGCTT